AAGGTCAGCCAACAGAGGCCCATACTTGTCCTTAACCCTTAACAGTACACCAGCACTATATATTCTGTAATATCTTTTTGTTTCTAAAGATTTTTTCTGAAATTTTAGGTAATTGTCACCCACAAAGTTGTCTCTCAATATAGTGCAGAAGACTCCGTTTCTACCATTTATAAAAAAATTATATCTGATTTTCTTTTGGGGTCCGCGCGGACCCCAGCCGGCTTTCGATCATAATGGATACACTGGCGTTCTTATACATTACCTTATTTCCGTTTTTATATGTTTTTAGGCACTCATCGTATGTCTACCAAGTTTTCAGAGAATGGTGTAGTAATAGAATTAAATTTTAATAACTTTGGTGTAATTATAACGTCATATGACGTCAGAGCTAATAATATAGTCCGCCATATTGGATTTTGACCAATGACGTCATCAAATTAGCATATTCTATGCATATCAAGTGATGTAACTTATATTTATTTATGTAAGAGGTTATTAATGTTGGAAAAGAAGTGTAATTTAATATAAAAGTCAGAAATTTTTTATGTTTAAACCAAAATTACTTCTATTTTCAAAAAAACTGCCTTCTAGAAACCCGTTGCCATGGCAACACAAAAAAACATCAACTTACCAGTATTAAACTAATATGAACTTTTTTCCAGAGACATTTTAGGAAAGGTCTCCAAATTTGATACTTCTAGAGCAAGCCGATTAGCCGCTATCTGAGATCAAAGTTGGGCCTCAAAAGCCCCTTCAGTCTGAAATGGGTTTAATAATCGGGTATTTCTTCTTGTCTTCTTTTCTTCACCAAAAAATAGAAAAAGTTCAAAATGTATGATTTTTGTATGTAATGTGGACACAGAGGTTCCCACATCAGTTTGCAAAACAATTGAGCTGGTAGCATGTTGATAATTTCTAAAAATTAGCAAAAACTGCTCTGGGGTCCGCGCGGACCCCAGGTGTACAGATTAATCAGTCCGGGAAGGTGTACTGTTGAGGGTTAAAAGTTCACATGATGTATTGACTCTTATAGTCGTCTTATGGCAACACATTTAACAAAATGAATACCGATATAAGGAGAGTGAACTTTATTTCTCCTGTGGTTGATGATGTTTCTTCACACACCCTTCTACTCCAGCATTGCCGCATGCTGATCTTCACGAAGTTCTCAGGACAGCGGCTTCTGAACACGCCCCCGAATACGTGAAGAACCACGCCCTTGTTCAAGACGCCCTCCGAGCAGCTGCTGGTAAGGACGCCCCTGACTACCTGAAGAACCGGGCCGTTGGGCAGGAACCGCTCCAAGCAGTAGCTGCTGACGAAGACGCCCCTGTCTACGTGAAAAACCCCGCCATTGTTCGAGATGTCCCCAGGGCAGAAGCTGCGGAAAACGTCTACGTGAAGAACCCGGAGATTGTACAAGAAGCCCCACGAGCATCAGCTGTTGAAGACGCCCCTGCCTACGTGAACAAACTCGCAATTGTTCGAGATGCCCCCCGAGCAGAAGCTACCAAAGACGTCTACGTGAAGAACCCGGAGATTGTACAAGAAGCCCCCCGAGCAGCTGCTGCCGAGGACTCTCTTGACTACTTGAAGAACCAGGCTCTTGTTCAAGATGCTCTCCGAGAAGCAGCTGCTGAAGACGCACCGACTGACGCCAAGGACAAGCGCTTCGTCCCCGCCATTGCGAATCTTGCTGGGCAGCTTTTTTGTAAGTCCTCTAACCTTGTTACTGATAACATACGACATTATACTTTCTACTCACATCAGATACTCCCTTCAGTAAGGCTTTATGGAACTAACCTACAGTATGTTTCTTCTGTGAACTACCTGGGCAACCAAATAACTACCAACCTGTCTGATGACGAGTCAATCCGTACTCACATCAGAGGCTTCTACACCAGAGCCAATTCCTTAGTTCGTAAATTTAAGTTTGCCTCTACAGAAGTGAAGCGCACGCTTTTCAACGCATACTGTTCCTCTATGTATTGCGCCCAGTTGTGGACACGCTACACTCTGGGCGCTATTCGAAAACTCCGAACGGCTTATAACAACGCCTTTAGAATATTGTTTTCATATGGAAAATTCGAGAGCGCCAGTCGAATGTTTGTGACTGAGGGTGTCGATACCTTCGATGCTCGCAGACGTAAACTAACACACTCTTTCACCAATCGGCTCCTCAACAGTAATAACAGAATCATAAAACTCGCAATCCACTCAGACTTATCATCCACCAGTCACTACTGGGATCACTATATCGGCCTAGTCTACCGGTAAGGCCCTTCTCGTATGTATATGTACCGAACCCTACCGTTTTTACTATGTGTGCACCTTGTTATTTTAATTGTTTGTCTACTATGGGCCAATTTGCGCCTGAAATAAAGAATAAAGTAAAGTAAAGATATGCCATGGGAATATGGAGACTTTGTGGCGGACAACGACAAATATCACTGACAGCGTCACTTTGACTTCATGAATGCTATAGCTATTCACGTGAATGTTTTTCCATTCCATTCTACCATATACAGCATCAGAAGGTGGCTTCGACGCAGACAAATTGACAGAGACGATCAAGAAGCTGGGCAGTATGGAGAACATGGCACCGGACATCATGGCCCAAAGTGTGCAGCATGAGGCTGAAGTCGAGGCACAAGTGGAAAAACAGGTTGCTCAGGAAACGGTTGATAAAATACTTGGAACATGTAAGAAATAAAATTTTCTTGTATCTATGAGGCTTTGAATCATGTCCATAAAATTGCGAATTAACGATCAGTAACTGATCGTTATCAGAATAGTGCCCTTTCCTTTATGATCCTTCTGCTTAACATGTAACACTGTCACATTGTTTGGACCTAAGACTAATTTTAGTGTTCCCATTGTCCGTCGGTATTGTTATCTGAAATGTTATTTGCACTTGTAAACGTTTACTGACAATATTTTATATACATTTAATGTAATAGTTTATTACTATTTTGAATTGTTTAATATGACGTTTTATACTCTGTTTGCTGTTTATGTAATGTCCCCATGTCAATTCAGCCTCTGGCTGCCATTTTTGGGACAGTGTTGTTGTGTTTTTAATGCAAATGAACCATTGATATAAATGTATTCTGTGCATTCCTATAACTCCTGACGTGTCCTTTTTTTTCAAAGAGTATATGTACCAACGCTACTGTTTATTCCCTTGCACAAGTCACATTGTCTTGACAATGTCGTAACATTCGTCATTCGGTTTGTTCTTAGAGATCTCTCTGGTCATGGTAGCTGGTGAGTCATAATGTATTAGCAAATCTAACCGATGTCTTTCGTATCGCACCATATTACAGATGAACATGACAAGAAAGATGCAGATGGCGATGGTGATGATGATGGTGGCGGAGGCGGCGGTGGAGATCATGAGATCAAGGTATGTGCTTTTTGTGTGGTTTATTGTTTATTGAAAACCAAAACCCATCGCAGCCTCAGGGCTGAACTGTGAGGTTTGTACACAAGTCGCGAACACGTTACACTTGCTCGTATCTTATTACATTTCGAAAAATACGTTAACTTTAAATTACTACTTACAACATTTTAAGATCAAATACTAAAATTCGCAGTATAATGTATATTTTAAAAAACGTTTTTCATCATTCATAATCTTTAAAATAGAAATAAATTATAATATTTTGTAGCTGCGACATTTAAGCAAGTTCAATTCTGAAAGAATTGCATTGAAAAAAAAAACACATTCATTCGGATACTATACTTCAAAGGGGCATGAAATGACGGCTTATTACAAAGTCTCATTGTACAGTCTGACAGTCAGCAGTGTACAAAATGATTTCTGAGCCGCTCTGTTCTGGCCAAGGGAAGGCTGGTGCTGTCATGGTTTCTCAGTTTACGCCCCGTGGATGCCTGAGGTGGAACCAGTTCGTGAAGTGGATGTTCTGGTTTCATCATGTTCGTTAGTAGGGTAATGGCAGCCAGCTCTCTCCTTTCCTTGAGGGAAGGAAGATTTGGCACAGTCCTTTTGCCTCCACAAGAGATGACCAACCCTCCTTTAGCTGCCCACCAATGGATAACAGCTATTCTTCCATGAGAGTGGAGTACGTAAAAACATTACAATACATCAACATACAATTATATAAAGTTACATTACATTTTGTAATTAAAAGAAACAAATGTATAAAATCGTGTGTGCTTTACTTATTCATGTCCCTCGTGTGCTTAAGTAGGCCTTGTTTGAACTTCTCATGTGATGACACTGTTTGCAGCCAATGTGGTAGAGAGTTCCATGCTGCAGTAGATCTGTATGTGAAAGATTTTTAGTGCTCTAGTTTTGTCTTGAAATGGATTTGTTTATAGATCCTCATCGATATCAGGGAACATGGAAACAGTATGTATTGATACGTCACTTCAAAGTATGAAGTGGCGTATGAATGGACAGATTAGGGATCTTTGTGTTTGTGTATGCAGATCCCTAGAGCAAAGAGCCCCAACTATATATATTTGAGGCTCTTTTCTTCATGTGTTTGTTTTGTTTTATTTGATTGTTTACGATACCATCGTTTCACGCACCAAAACAGTTACTTTTAAGTAACTGTTTTGGTGCGTGAAACGATGCAACTGGATACAATTTTGAAGCATCCACTACATTTCCTTAGTGACACTGTAAATCCTCATAAAATCAGGTTTATATAAGCACGAACTGTTGACAATGGTACATTGCTAGTAGCCTAAAAGGCGTACGTCTGTTTTCAGAATCATATCCAGTTGCTTTAGTTACTGTTTTATGGCGTATCTTATTACCTGGGTGGCTATCCCTCACCAATGCATCGTCACATACATAATTATGTATCAGCCGACTGATAGAAGGGGTTGTTTTGCAGGCTGAGGTGGACTTTGTTGCAGACAAGGGTATGGTACAGGATGACATGTTCGCTCCACCAGGATTGCACATGAGGGTAGACGTTGAGCAAGACCCCGGGTATGTATTTGATTCATTATAATAGAATAAGGACTAAGCGTTAACTTTCAACACTTGGATTACAGAAATGGGACTTTTCGGTTTCCCAAATTTTCGGTTGACTCCATCAACCTTGTTCACGGAATGGACCCGTCTACTATTGGAACGTGACGTCAGAGACACGTGACCGTAGTAGCGGATCATACGTGCCAGATAACTTGTGTCGCCCCCCGTCTTTGTTCAGATTAGGTCTGTGAGCTCTAATGTAGACCGCATCCTTCACTCCTCTTGCAAAGAAGTCCGATTCAGAATCGAGGATTTTAAGCCCTTCCAGAGATACAGAGTGAACAAGGTTGATTGAGTCAACCGAAAATCCCATTTCTGTAGTCTAAGTGTTGGAAGTTAAAGCTTAGTCCTTATTTCATAATGACTTGTACCAACACAGATGAACTTTCATGCTAAGTTGAATCATCATGTTTATCTAATAAAATGTAGTATACAGGTATAACGACCTGTCAATGTGACACAGCAAAAGTATGAATGCCAATCCTACCCCCTTTCCCAGTACCTTGTTTTTGGCCATTATCGAGTATACACATATATTACACTATTCATTCTGGACAGCTATAATTGAAAATACTCACTGATCATACACAATCTGATGTAACATCTGTGTCCATAATATGACCAGGGTCCATAATATCGCCACCTTGAGAAACAGTGTGCTTAAAGATATTTTTACTGCAACATACCCTAGGTATGTACATTTGATGTGTGAAGGAGTGCATACCAAAAGTATGTGCATACCACACTGTTTCTCAAGGTGGCGATATTATGGACCCTGGTGATATTATGGACACAGATGTTACATAATCTAAAACCCAGAAAGATTGCGGAAAATTTTCATGTCTCGGGAGGCTTACCCTCTGACGTTACCAGCGATTTCCTGGAACCACGAGGAAGCTTATTACAATTTTTATACCTACAGGAAGGACGGCGAACCCGATCAAAGCTCTCAACCAATGGCGTACGGCTATCCCGTGGGGATGGGCGCTGCTCTGATGAACGGCTGTTTCGGGACAGGATACAAAGCAGGAGATCCGTGCTACAACGTCAGGGACGTCATCCCGGCATGTTACGTAAGTTTAGAATCCACGATATAGCTAAAAAACCTACCCGGGAACGGTGGTAAATCCTTCTCGGACCCCCCACTGAAGGATCGCACGATAGGGTCCGAGGTGGTAGTGACGATGATTCGAGGATTACCGTCGTGCGACTATTGTGATCGTCTTTAGACGGTGGTAAAATACCGTCGCCGGCAACATCTTGACGATAAACATTCGCACGACTATTCAACCGTCGTCAGTCTAAAGTCGACCTTATTTTGTCTGCCTACTGTACTTGTCTGTATGCCATGACCAGATGCAGATCTAGCGCTGTGTACCGATAAACAGTACCGATACTGTACCGGTAAAAATTGATTAGGTACAGGTCTAAAATACGTAGTCCCTCAGTACCGGTACCGTACTTAAACAATTTCACACCGATTTTATGCCTATTTGTGACCTCAAATGTGTAAATAGCTGGTCCCCCATGGGTCCCAGTGTAAGGACAGTGTGTTAATGAAAACAAAAACATCTTAGTTTTGCCCATATTTTGTCTTAGCATTCTCCATAAAGGAAAACTAACACTCAACTGTCAAGTTTATTAATGTTTTTCTTGTTTTTGAAGAAGTTCAGACGAGCATGTTCATTGGTCGAATTGGTCCGGACCTGTACCTAAACCGTACCTGTACCTAAAATTTGTTTCGGTACACAGCTCTATGCTTCCCACAACAGTTCGAGTTGCACATACACATGTGCTAAGTCAAAGGGTTGGGCCCCAAATAAATTGTCGATAATTCTGTACCTTGAAGTGTTTCGCATGAACCACGATGCCTTGGGGGTCTGTGACATCATCAAAAACTCATTGGGACTGTAAGAAAGTGTATTACAGTTTCTAGGCATCATGCTCTTTCGTATACAGTGCAGATACTCAAATTTTACAATGTGAAACAATAGTCAATGGCGTGTGAGGCACAACACCACATTGAACTCATGTCTCATTGTCTCAATTAAGCTTAAACTTATTTTAATTCTTTTTTTTTCAATGTAATTTCATGTTACTTCAGAATCTGTACCGCAAACTTATCATTACTGTTAACAAATAAATGCCGACATTCTTTTTCCTGCACCTGCCGCCACCGTGAACATATAGTTCCGTGGACACCGCCAATTTTCTTAGACCTCCAATTTTCTCAGTGAACGTTTGCTGCCGTGAACATAAAGGTATTATGTTTACCGAAGAAAAACATTGTTTTTGCTCAATTTCGTCTTCCACTTCTTCTCCAAACAGTGACCTCAATGACTGGAAACAATGTTGTGTCTGTTACCATGATGGCAACTAGTGTTGGGTTACATGATGTTGCAAGTTTATAGCAGGAGGGATTTACACTTCTGTCCGACCATGTGTTTAAGTATGTGTTTGAGTAAGAATTAACAGAACAGACCATATGCGAAGGTAAACACTATGTCTTTGCCTTGAAAATGTAACCTTCCAGTTTACAGTAGCGTTGAAACATTGTCCGTGGTGATGAACCGTACAACTATTGAAGTATTGTCACACAGAACATGATGGAGGGGTGTGGCTACATCGGGGTTGGCTTCGATGGTCGCGGAGACTACAGCAGCACGTCAAGAAGGAAATCAGTCGTGCAGCGGAACTGTAAAAACCTGGCTACGTAAGTATCACGGGATTGTTTTGAACATGTTCTATCATATGTTCACTGATATATCAAAAATGCACACATGGACTAACATGCCCACACACGTAAGGAAACACACAAGCACAGACAGACGTAGAAAATATATACTAGAACTCTTGAATGTTGAACCTGGTGTTTTTTTACTTAAGGCCACACCAATTTAATTTGTTGGTTCTTGGATTTTTTCAGAAAAAATATGAAGCGACAGGGCGAAAAAAAAAATAAAAACAGGTCTAGGCATCCTACTATAGCCCCAAATGCTACAATATGAGTCATGAAGTCAACAAAAAAGGCTGGGTTAAAATTTAAAGTATAAATTTTGAACTTTTAATCAAACCACTGCATTGATAGATGGAAAAAACTGTAACAACTAGGAAGAAAATGAATTTCCTCAACTGTTGGGGGCAAAATATGAGCATTTTTGAGTTGATTCAGAACCAGAATCTTTTTTTTTTTTTTGCAAATCAGAAAAAAATGAAGAGGCGAATCCGAGAACAAACAAATTAAATTGGTGTGGCCTAATTTGACGATGTAGAAAGTATAAAGTATACCAAATATGCAGTAGCTGTAAATGTGTTGCTAAAAGTTTGCAGTACTATGTTTGTAACTAAGAATATAGTGACTGTCACATTACTGCCCCTTATAAGAAGGCTGCATTTTGTCATAGCAAAAATACCTGCCATTTTACTGCTTGTGGAAATGTTTTTAATCTACCTTAGGTATCACGATGAGGATGTTCCGGACACCATGAATGTTCACGGCATCTTCGACACAGAGGTCTCCTCCTACGTCTACGAGTCAAGAGAGTCTTACCGCCATTCCCTGCAGGCGAAAGCTGGAATGTCGTTCTCTGGATGGGGCTTTCAGGTTCATTAAATTTCATTTTCAATAACAACGTTTTTATCTAAATTGAAAAAATTAATGAAAGTCTAATGCTAATTCATGCCCGAGGGCTAATTGCAAGAACAATAAACAGCAAAAATGATCATAAGTAATGCTAATGCTACTTTGGATATAAATTTGTAGTTATTGTTGGGTTTGATTTCTTTTCCGTGTGCAGTGGAGTATGAAATGGCCGACATTTTGCGAAATGTATGAATTGGGGGGGGGGTGTTAATAGAAGTGCAGTTTTTGTAGGCTGGGAAGGTGAATGAAGTTAGGGAACATTTTAGTGACCATTTCAAATAACTGATCTCTTTCGGTGCTATAATGAGGGCAATGACAAATAAAGTAATTTCATCCTCCACTGCATTTCCTGTACAATATTTGCGACTGACTTTCTTAATTATTGATGAATTTCATTTCTTTTCAGGCTGCCGTGGACTCGGCATATGGGAAGTCGACATCTTCCGACAAACAGAAGTTCATGTCCCTTATTCAGTGTAATGTCATAAGGTGTGTGTACTTTCTATTGCACAGTATTCATGCTGTTACAGTCTGGACCTAGAGATATCTACCAGTAGCACTATTTTAAATTTTGTGCTGAGTAGATATTTTTGCAGCCCTCTTAAACAACTATTCTATATTTTAGTTTATTGAATTACGCCTTGCCCTTTTACAGGGCTCTATATGTGTGACACCGTATGTGCAACCCATACATATACAGCAGGGCAGACAGTACTATTAGATCTGGCCATAGGAACACGTGCTTAAATACAGTATTAGAAGTACTTGCCCATACTTCAATCTCAATTTTTTTCTGCACCAAGTAGCCACAGCTGATGATAGTAAAAAAACCTCAACTTTGACCTAATTTTTCATGGTATCCATCCGCCTGGCCAGACAAGACCTAACCACTCACATCTCTCATTACACCTACTAAACTGGTGAAATAAACAAAACTTGACCAAAGTAGGAAAGTTTAGACCCTTCCTGTGCCTTCCAGCCCCAAAATCTCCAAAATGGACCAAAATGGACCCATTTTGAGGCCTCTACTGCGCAACGCAAATGTGGTGTCTGCCCAGCACTGCAAGCAGTATGCCATATTTCAGGCTTTTTATCGTTCTTTAATCAGTTGTTAATGGACCGCCCAGGGCGTTTGCGATTGTGTAGCGCCTGACCTATGACTTATAATTGCCGGGTGCAAATGAGGTGTTTTATGGGTGGTTATGGGTCAGTGACCAGGCACGTAAACACCAATAGAAAAGTGGGTCATAAAAGGTATTGTAGTATATCCGTTTCAAAATAAACACTGACACTGTTTAGAAGTTGGGATTCCACCATTGTCTATCTACGTCTTTCTATTATTTGACCTCTAATCTCCAATTCACTTTTAATTCTCTATGCTGATTTTGTTTCAAGTATGTCATAATTTCAGCATAATTTGTATGTTTTATTTATTATCATTACTGCTAAAAGATATTATTATTGTTATTATTATTATAATTTTATTTTATGTTGCTGGGCTCCAGGAAGAATAGTATGGAGTTTACTATACTAATGGAGATCTCAATTAACAAACAAACAAACAAACAAACAAACAAACAAACAAATCTATCATCAATACGCGGGTGTCTTCTTCATTAACCCATGCTATATGATAATAGGATTATGGCCAATGGATAATGGATGAGAAACTTTGACCCCTCTTGCCATTTGACCGCTAGGTATGAAATCTTCCTGGATGAAATCTCGCCGGATACCCTGAGTCTGCCCTTCCTGAGGGACTTCTTGGCCCTTCCGACTAATTTCATCCTTGGGAAATTAGCGCTTCGTAAGTATCATCATGCATGTTTTCTTACAGTAAATCAAGAATGTCTTGCACAATAGATAATATTTTTTTTGTTTATTTATTGTTTTGCACATACAAATAAAATGTAACAATTTAAAAATAAATAGACATGCATAGGAGGGCAGGAAACCTGGTGGTTTACAAAATGTATCTTTAGCCCTCCCCAATACTACAAGATTAAAACTTAATAATGCTAATAATGGTAAATTACCATTATTAATAAATGAACCAAATTTCAAACAAAGAAGACAAGAATAGCAGGAAATAAACAAAAACAATTCGAAGAACTAATGGCATAATACAAAACACCTGTATCTGAACAAATAAACATGGTTCTTGATCCATGCTTGGTCCAGGGGTCTCCAGCTCATAACTTTGACATAAATACAAAACTCACAGATACACTCCACACGTTCATTGCCCAATCAAAAAGATTCTGTGTCTCTTGCCAGCTGAGCCACACTAAACATTCAATTGCTGTACAGTTATAAAATTGATTTTAATTGCAGGTGTAATTTATAAGATAATGTTATTTGTGTATATATCTTGTTCTAACTATTTATTGTTGTTTTTTTACCTCATATGTCTAGGTATGTGTTAGGTGTGCACGCTATCAGCATAATTGCTGCCTAGTGCACACTTTGTATTGTCTTGTTACAATTCTGAAGGAATAAATAAATAAATGGTTGTTGATGCTTTGATTGAGCACAGTCAGTCATGAGTACACTACGGTATCTATTTGTTTACAGAAAAGTTCATCATCCGCTATGGGACCCACTTCATCAAGTCAGCAAAGTTCGGTGGTTCCTTCAGACTGTTCAAGACTCAGGAGGCTTCCAAGACTGAAAGTCTTGAAGACTTCTCCATTCAGGCCCAGGCCTCTTACAATTCTCTTTTCTTCAACGCCGGAGGTCACTTTGGAGTTGGATCTTCCAAGGGATCATCGTATGGCAGCCATTTTTTATTCTTCTTTTAATACACTTGTGGGGATAAGGTCATATTTTCTTATCTTGTTGTACTTTACAAATCGTTTGGCTTTGCTATCACGACTAGTGGTAAATTTCCAGGTCGATGAGCTAAACTGGTTCTAGATCACTCTCTTTTGATTGTGAGGACAACCTTCTTCCCTCGTTAATGATTCAATATTAGTTGAAGTCCTAGAAATGACTAATAGACTGGACGTAAACTCTGCCTCATTAGTAAAGGTGAGTAACAGTTACTAAAAGCTCTGCAAGTTTCTGTCCTGATAATAAATTGCTCTTAATATCGCCCCAGATACTTGTATCTTTTGCATATTAAACATGTCTACAATCTTAGCATGAAAGTTCATCTATGTTGGTACAAGTCATTATGAAATGAAGGCTAAGCTTTAACTTCCAACACTTAGATTACAGAATTGGGACCTACCCAAATTTTCGGTTGACTCCATCAACCTTGTTTACGGAATGGACCCGCTACTACGGTCACGTGTCTCTGACGTCACGTTCCAAGAGTAGACGGGTCCATTCCGAAAATTTTGGAAAGTCCAAATTCTGTAATCTAAGTGTTGGAAGTTAAAGCTTAGCCTTTATTTTATCATATCTACAATCTTACAGCCAGTCTGATAAGACTTCCAGCACCCACGTGACAGTGGAAGGAGGCGACCAGGAAGTTGCCTCCATCGTCGCTGACTTCTACTCAACCGGCTTCAAGGACACCTTCACCGAGTGGCTAAAGTCCATCCCCACCTACCCCAAACCCATCGAGATGTTCATGGGCACCATGTCAGAACTCCTCAACTTGAACTACAAACTTCTCTTCCCTTTTGACATCACGGATGTTGCAGACGGATGCTTCAGCCAAAGGTGAATTTTACGACATAATCTATATCTAACCATTCAAAAATGGACCATTTAATGCACTTACTGTGTGCGATGAAGCAGACAGCATGGAAGCTGTCATGTCTGTTATGTTCATTGCCTTGATGGTGTAGGTAAACAGTGACCTTCTTTGAAATTGTCCTTGAAACAGTCTAGGTCCAGTATCTATTGATAGTCGGTCGGCAAAAAAATTCAAGTCGTCATATAGCATAACTTTTACTCTGAGTATTTTGTTCTTGTTCTTGAATGTATACTCTTTCAAATCCATAGCCTCAAGACCGAGGAAGGCACGGGAAGGAAGTATTATGAGGTCGGTAAAATGGTGAACAACAGCCAAGGAGTGATGAAACCAGTAAAAGAGAAACGGTAACTCTGATTATATGGGAGAGGTGATGGAGCTAATTGATCTGTGCTACAACATAAAGATTTGTGCTACAAACTTTAAAAATGGGCAACAAAATAATTATGTTTTGTAATTTTGGTGAGTGAATATATTGCATATAATTAAAATTCTGTTGATACCCAAAGCCAGCTAACATCTTAATGACCATTTTAGCGTCTTCTGATGTTCATGAAGGTATTAACGATTTTGATCAAATCCTTCCAGGTACTGTGACTTCACATCTGCAGATAAGTTTGAAAAAGAAATGGACAAGAAACGACTGGCGCTGGAAAGGGCGATTGCTGTTTACATGGAAGAGGTATGCCGCATTCCATTATGTTCTATGTTTTAACTTTGTGCATAATGTTATCATTATGAAGTGTCATTATTTATCACGTTCGTTTGGGGTTTAGTAGTACTGCTATAGATATTGTTGAATACTTTGGAAAGATTAAGGTGGTTTTTACTTGGTCGGAGATAAAACAATAAAGGGTCATGTTTTGCTGTTTTTTAACATACATTGGCCTGGACCTTATGAGTTATTATTAGAGATTAGCATCTATACACGTGTGCCATTTTATGCTACAACAATAGCTGGAAAAGGATCAGAGTTGACCGTTGTTGTTGTTTGTTTAGTACTGATCCTGTGTTAAAACATCCGCCATCTTGGATTTTGACCAATGACTTAATCAGATTAGCATAAATTATGATGAACCCGGTTGTTGTTCCATAGGGACCAGTACCCACCACGGATTTCCGTCTAGAGGGGGGCAAACCTGGATGTACTTCTCAGGCCTTGAAGGTCAAGGGGGGTATCTCTGGTACTACCTCCCCCACATGGATGGAACTCATCAACGGGGACACGTATAAGGTACGAGACAATAGCTCTTCGGCATAACGTACTGTACTTTGTTTGTTTGTTTAGGATCTCCATTAGTGTGAATTTCACACTACTCTTCCTTGAGTCCGTAATGAATAATCAGACCAGTATTTGAACCATCGCACACCGGGGTATGCCCCTACTCTTTTTCGAAAGGTGTGGTCGGATATCTTTAACGTGCGTGGGGTGTGGCTCTCCCCAAACACGGGACCTCCATTTAACGTCCTAGCTAGGAACGCCGAAACTAGGTACTCATTCGCACCTGAGTGAAGTGAGGAAAATCGTGTAAAGTACCTTTCCCAATTGCAAGGGTACAACGTCGCGGCGCATGTTCGGACTTGTTCGGGTACGAACCGGAATTGAACCCGGGTCTCCCCGTTTCATAGTTCAGTGATCTACCACTACGCCACACGACGCCACTTCATGGCTGGTCAACGTTACGTCAGGATTTTGCCCGTTTTAGGCGATATATTTTCAACGCAACATTTGAGAACTATAGACGGGATGTCGACATGTCACATGTCCTTAAATATGTGAATACGACCTTACAGACGTTGTACCGTGTGCACAACACATTAGGCCATGTTGATTTGATTATATGGATGACATCCTCCGGGAGCCCCAAAACTGATGCGCGCGTGCGAATAAAAAAAAAGTTTTGGCAAAAAAAAAAGTTAACTTTTCATTATGAAATCTACGTGGTCATGAGGGTTGAGCAAATGGCACAGAATATGGTTTGGCGAATAATCTAGTCTTCAAGTTCATTTCTTTACAATTTCGTCTTTTTTCGTTTGATTTTGTTCTACGACATTGGTATAGTTTTTATTAATTTTTTTTGTAACTTATGGTATATTTTTGCTCATTTTGCAACTGTTTTGTACGATTTACAGTATGGTTGAAAACTTTTTTTTTTGGAAACGGCCGAAAATTCATGCGCGCGCAGATGTCATCCATATAATCAAATCAACATGGCCTTATGTAATTTTGTACTTTATCATGCTCTTATTCGCCCCCTGACCTCCCCCTTGAACACTTGGAAAGTGAAATATCAAGGTTTAATATAGGTAAAAAAAAGTGACACATGAAAGTGAAATCCAGAAAGATTTGCTATGATGATACAACGTGCTACTGTGGTACATGTATATATGAGATATGCATGCTAAGACTAAGAGGAGCAAGAATTGAATTCAAAGGCACATAAAATGATTTCAGAGCAGTAAAACTACATTGTACATGCACTAGTAGTAAGTCCATGTGGCCATGTACATGTAGCAGACTTGTATCTGTGACACAGAAATAAGGTTGCTTAGCTTGTTTTGTATGGTAGGCAGGTTCTAGATATTTACTGTTCAAACCAAAAAGTAAAGGGACTCCTCAAATAGCTTGTTGGGCTATGTCAAATGCTTCAAGTATGAAATGATATTAAGGCCACACCAATTTAATTTCTTGGTTAACAGATTTGCCGCTTCATTTTTTTCTGATTTGCAAATAAAAATAAAAATTCAGAATCAACTGCACAATGCTCATATTTTGCCCTGAACAGTTGAAAACAGTCCTTTTCTTCCTTGGTGTTACAGTTATTCCATCTTCCAATGCAATGGTATCATTAAAAGTTCAAAATTCATTGTTTAAATTTTGAACCGGCCTGGTATGTTGACTTCATGACTCCTATCGTACCATTTTGGGCCATAATAATAATTAATAGGAATGCCTAGGCCTGTTTTTTGTTTTTTTTGTTTTTTCTGCCCGCCCGCTCCATTATTTTTCTAGGAAAATCCATTAACCAAGAAAATAATTGGTGTGGCCTAAGGAAAATATGCTAAAACTAGAGAGGCCGACATTTGCTTGGGAGCAAATACAGCATATTTCAGTCCATCTCCCTCCCACGCAAAAGTGGACTATTCCAAACTTACCCCAG